ATACTTTTTTCTAATGTTATCGTTTTACATTGAGCTTAATAAACCTACTTAGTACCTAAGATACAAACTAAAACTACCGACACAGTATGAAAAGGCTAAGAATATTCTTGAAAGGAATACTTTTAAAAAGTATTCCTTTCAAGAATTATATTTATTATATATATATTATAATTCTATTATAGGAAGTTCGGTGGTGTTCATTGTGTTAGTTTAGTTATAATTTGTTTTGTTTCATATATTAAAATCACTTAACACTAACTACGCTAATGTGCGGCACTGATTTAACTATCGGAAGAGTTATCGTTTCCAATTACGTTAAATATTCCCATTTAGATTTAACTATTCTTCTTCGTCAGGTAACTACAGTCCAATGTTGGGAATGTGCCTCCATTAGGAATAAATTAGATTATACGCACCTTTGACACTGCAGTCCGCGTTGTTTGTTACTGGTCATGGTACTTTACATCTGGTGTATTCCAAATAGTTATTTTGCCTTTGATCAGAAGCCACATCTCCGAATTTTCCTATAGCTGCCTTTTACGGCACTCACGTGACCGTACCGAGTAATAGCTTATACAATGCAGATACCAACCGGCGTTGAAATATAGACCGTTACCGTTACTGTTACAGCGTATTAAAGTCCACTGCTGAACTTAAGCTACGTAGTACCATTATTTATTCTGTGCTTAAGCCTCCTCCACAGCTTGCCGATAGGGGGTATATTTGTTATATTTGCAACGCTTGGCAAGCGAGTTGGCATCCGCAGTTTATTTTTATTTTTATTCGTAATTAGGAAGACGCTGCCGTTCATCTCCTGATTTGTTTCCATCAGTCGCCTCTTACGACACCCACGAGATGGTATTGGGTAGTATATATTCTTACACCGCTATCACTCGGTAAATATAAAAATTGTTATTAATTTATTTAAACTTCAAATAACATGATGCCCGAGGCACGTTATAATTAAGAAGCTCCTCAATGTTATTCAATACCAAACCTGCCGTTCAGTATCAAATTAATCCTTGTATTTTGTTCTTAAAATTAATAGAAATTAATTAACAATACAGGCAGCAAGGTAAATCGGCGCGTGTTAAATTAAACACGTTCTTGTTTATAATCTTACCAACCTTAATCACAGTTGTCTCGGTAACGTGTGTTGTGGTTTACCGATGTTTTCACGCCGTCTCTGTTTGAGACAGTGTCGTTAGGGTTGTCAAAAGGTTGACTAAATTGGAGTACATATTATGTTATGTGGTTGCTTATAAAAATCTAGGTACAACATGTGGTAAACTCCACATATTACCTTTTGTTTCGCTTTATAAGTTACAAAGGTTGAGATTTAAATTGTCATACGTTTGAATACGAAAGTAGCATAATTTAAAGCTTTGTGAAAATTTAAATTTTATTTGGACATTTGAGTTATATTCATTCATCGCTGCAGCACAAATAGGTCAGCTCTACTGGGGAGGACCACGTTCGCACTGAAAATCAGCGTAACATAGCAGCGTAATGTTGTTGTGATTCGTGTAGTGACGAAACCCGTTAAGCTCTTTTACTGATAGCGGAGCATTACATTTTAATATTTATCTTCATCTTAGACTTCAGGCAACATCAGAACCAAAATGCAGATTTTTGATCCTTAAGCAAGGAAATATAAGAAAGTTAAACTGTGTTCGATAAAGACATTGGAGTATATTGCTCGATAAATTTGTATTGTTGTACATCTTACTTCTATTATATTAAGATTAACTATAACGCTTACCAATGAATGGAAGAAATGAGCTCATGTGAGGAATAGAATGTTTTGGGGGGGTGTTCTTACTACTATTAAAATATTTTTTCTAAAATTTATGTACATACACACAAAGTCAAAATCTACCATGGATTCCAAAATTGAGACTGCGGTATCGATAAGAAACTCTCGGGTATTTCCGGTTTTTTTAATGATAAATTCATTTTAAATTTATAGTAATGTATGTATTACAATTTTATTACCCGGATGACCGAGCTTTGCTCGGTTTTTTTTGAAATTACATTTAGATACAAATCACATACCGATGAGTAATATTTTTTGATCTTATTGACATAAATTGAACTGGTTATTTGAATAAAAAATCATGAGTGCATTAGTTTCATTAAAATTTTTGTATTTTTATAAAATACTAAAGAAAAGTGCTGGAATTATTACATTTTCTTACAAAAGAAGGGTACTTGAAAAAAAAGGGAAAAAAGTCGGACCGAAGACGGAGCCAAGGCATTACGATTTTGGGACCGCTCGCTATCCACTTGAGCTATTACGATCATTAATACAGTGTCAAAATTTACCTTCTTATATTGTAGCAGTTTTTCATGGCCTGAAAACACGGACAAAAAACATTTTCTAAAAATAAATCCTAGCTAGATCGATTTATTGCCCCCGAAACTCCCTGGACACTAAATTTTATGAAAATCGTTGGAGCTGTTTCCGAGATACCGATTATATATATATACAAGAATTGCCCGTTTAAAGGTATAGGATAGTAGGTACTCGGATGACCGAGCTTTGCTCGGTTTTTTTTTAAATTACATTTAGATACAAATTACATGAATAATATTTTTTGATCTTATTGACATAATAGAAAAAACTGAACTGCTTATTTGAATAAAAAATCATGAGTGCAATTAGTTTAATTAAAATTTTCGTATTTTTAAAAAATACTATAAAAAAGGGCTCGAAATAATAGATTTTCTCACAAAAGAAGGGAACTTGAAAAAAAAAAGAAAAAAAGTCGGACCCAAGACGGGACGCGAACCACGGAACTCCGATATCACGCCCGAACAACATCCCATCTGAGCTACTACGATCGTTGGTAAACTGTCAAAATTTACCTTCTTATATTGTAGCAGTTTTTTTATTGCCTGAAAACACGGACAAAAGGACATTTTCTAAAAATGAATCCTAGCTAGATCGATTTATTGCCCCCGAAACTCCCTGGACACTAAATTTTATGAAAATCGTTGGAGCCGTTTCCGAGATCCCGATTATATATAAACATACAAGAATTGCTCGTTTAAAGGTATAGGATATTGTTGTACCATGTGATCTCTACTGCAACAAGTGCAAACAAGTTCAACATAAACAAAATGAGAACATCATCGATGTAGTCGAAATCAATTAATTACGCATTATTAAGGATAATTCAATAACTACTAGTCAGATTTTGATCAAATTTATATGGGACCTCATACATGTCGACCAACTCTGCTAGCTACCGCCCCATAACGTTATTACCGAACATAGCAAAACTCTCGCACATTGCTCTGCGGGAGGAACAATTTGGCTTTCGCAGAGCTCACTCAACGACAGAACAAATGACTCGCGTGCTGCACTATCTTGTGACCGATCGCAACTGCAGCCGCATCTGTGTGGGGGTCTTCTTTGATATGGAGAAGGCACTCGAGATTGTGGCACGCAGGGTTACTACACAAACTGATAGAGAACACCACCTTGCCAGCTTAGACATGTGCGCCTAATAGCGTCGTTCCTGAAGGGGCAGCTTTCAAATGAAAAAAAAGTCATCAAAATCGGTTTACCTAGAAAAAAGTTCTGAGGAAACACATAAAAAACATACAGTCGGATTGAGTACATCCTCCTTTTTGAAGTCGGTTAAAAAGAAATTTAATTCCATACATCCTTATTCTTCAAGTACGTAGCTGTCAATTTTATAAAAGGCTTTACAAGTCAAGGCACGTTTAATATTTTTTTAAACTTTTCTTCTGACAGAGTAGCATCTAACAATAATGTTTTATTATATACGTAATCATTTTTATAGATAAGAAAGATTCATTTAAATTATTAAACTAAATATAAGCAACATTTTTTTATTAGGGAATTCTAAACATAAGCAGACTTACTGTGAACTTATAATATAGTTGTGGTGTCTCTACGACTAAATACGTATAAGCAGCTCAAGGGACATCCCCCGAGGACAAAGAACGTCCTCGGCATGTTGATGTGCTCCAAACCACCCCGGAGCAAAGTTTAAGCATAGTGATTTACACAATTCCACCATGGGTAAGCTCTACGTAGATGACTGTCTGAATGATGACGTGAAGAAAAGGATGGGAAATAAAATAGTGAATTAACAAACCAAGGGATTAAATAAACGTAACAAACCTTATTCTGAACCTGTGTTCGTATAAAATTTTAGATGCCTTGTGATTTAAAATAAATTCTTATGTCTGTTGACTTGTAAATTTATATTCAGATCATGTAAATCGAGTAAGTGAAGGGTCTCGGATAGCCGTAATCTCGACGTACGCTCAATCACATGCAGGGGTCTCACTAACCCTAACACACAACTAACACAAGTAATACGAAGTCACGTATTGCGCTGATGCAAACTATGCAAAATTATTCGTATTTATTTAGTTAATATATAGTTAACATTACTTCTGTACTGTTACGAATTATTTTGTATTTTAGTGAAATCAGCTGCTACAAAATCGTATCTCGACTCTAATACAGAGGAAATACAAATGCTACAGTGTCGCTGAAATAGTAGGAAAATTGAATAGTATCGCTGAAATACCTCTTTTAAACGAACGACACCGGATCGAATACATAGCTGCGACGTAGACACCCAGCGATAGCTGCGTCATCGTCGGACACACGTTATAATACATAGCTGCGACGTAGACACCCAGCGATAGCTGCATCATCGTCGGACATACGTTATAATACATAGCTGCGACGTAGACACCGAGCGATAGCTGCATCATCGTCGGACACACGTTATAATATATAGCTGCGACGTAGATACCCAGCGATAGATGCAACATCAGTCGGACACACATTATAATACATAGCTGCGACGTAGACACCGAGCGATAGCTGCATCATCGTCGGACACACGTTATAATATATAGCTGCGACGTAGATACCCAGCGATAGATGCAACATCGTCGGACACACACATTATAATACATAGCTGCGACGTAGACACCCAGCGATAGCTGCATCATCGTCGGACACACGTTATAATACATATGGCTGCGACGTAGACACCCAGCGATAGCTGCGTCATCGTCGGACACACGTTATAATACGTAGCTGCGACGTAGACACCCAGCGATAGCTGCATCATCGTCGGACACACGTTATAATACATAGCTGCGACGTAGACACCCAGAGATAGCTGCATCATCGTCGGACACACGTTATAATACATAGCTGCGACGTAGACACCCAGCGATAGCTGCATCATCGTCGGACACACGTTATAATACATGGCTGCGACGTAGACACCCAGCGATAGCTGCGTCATCGTCGGACACACGTTATGATACATAGCTGCGACGTAGACACCCAGCGATAGCTGCATCATCGTCGGACACACGTTATAATACATAGCTGCGACGTAGACACCCAGAGTTAGCTGCATCATCGTCGGACACACGTTATAATACATAGCTGCGACGTAGACACCCAGCGATAGCTGCATCATCGTCGGACACACGTTATAATACATAGCTGCGACGTAGACTCCCAGAGATAGCTGCATCATCGTCGGACACACGTTATAATACATAGCTGCGACGTAGACACCCAGCGATAGCTGCATCATCGTCGGACACACGTTATAATACATAGCTGCGACGTAGACACCCAGCGATAGCTGCGTCATCGTCGGACACACGTTATAATACATAGCTGCGACGTAGACACCCAGAGATAGCTGCATCATCGTCGGACACACGTTATAATACATAGCTGCGACGTAGACACCCAGCGATAGCTGCATCATCGTCGGACACACGTTATAATACATAGCTGCGACGTAGACACCCAGCGATAGCTGCGTCATCGTCGGACACACGTTATAATACATAGCTGCGACGTAGACACCCAGAGATAGCTGAATCATCGTCGGACACACGTTATAATACATAGCTGCGACGTAGACACCCAGCGATAGCTGCATCATCGTCGGACACACGTTATAATACATAGCTGCGACGTAGACACCCAGCGATAGCTGCGTCATCGTCGGACACACGTTATAATACATAGCTGCGACGTAGACACCCAGAGATAGCTGCATCATCGTCGGACACACGTTATAATACATAGCTGCGACGTAGACACCCAGCGATAGCTGCATCATCGTCGGACACACGTTATAATACATGGCTGCGACGTAGACACCCAGCGATAGCTGCGTCATCGTCGGACACACGTTATAATACGTAGCTGCGACGTAGACTCCCAGCGATAGCTGCATCATCGTCGGACACACGTTATAATACATGGCTGCGACGTAGACACCCAGCGATAGCTGCGTCATCGTCGGACACACGTTATAATACATAGCTGCGACGTAGACACCCAGCGATAGCTGCATCATCGGCGGACACACGTTATAATACATAGCTGCGACGTAGACACCCAGCGATAGCTGCATCATCGTCGGACACACGTTATAATACATAGCTGCGACGTAGACACCCAGCGATAGCTGCATCATCGTCGGACACACGTTATAATACATAGCTGCGACGTAGACACCAAGAGATAGCTGCATCATCGTCGGACACACGTTATAATACATAGCTGCGACGTAGACTCCCAGCGATAGCTGCATCATCGTCGGACACACGTTATAATACATAGCTGCGACGTAGACACCCAGCGATAGCTGCATCATCGTCGGACACACGTTATAATACATAGCTGCGACGTAGACACCCAGCGATAGCTGAATCATCGTCGGACACACGTTATAATACATGGCTGCGACGTAGACACCCAGAGATAGCTGCATCATCGTCGGACACACGTTATAATACATAGCTGCGACGTAGACACCCAGCGATAGCTGCATCATCGTCGGACACACGTTATAATACATAGCTGCGACGTAGACACCCAGCGATAGCTGCATCATCGTCGGACACACGTTATAATACATAGCTGCGACGTAGACTCCCAGAGATAGCTGCATCATCGTCGGACACACGTTATAATACGTAGCTGCGACGTAGACTCCCAGAGATAGCTGCATCATCGTCGGACACACGTTATAATCGTTAACTGAGAATTGTTCACCTAAAAGTGTTAATGTACTATTGCTTCACGTAAACCGTCCTCTATAGAGAATAAATCTCAGTACAAGACGTTTCGTACATTTGACCCTGCTCTCTGTCGTCGTTTTGGGTATTTTATACCAGACGTATAAAATATATATAATAAGTATCTTTCGGCGGCTATAGCGTTTTTCAGCATTATTTCTCACAACCCTACTTCGTACCGAAACGAAATTGGTCTGGTGGATTTTGTTACGTCGTCACCGCACGATAAATAATACACGTATTTTAACTATTAACACAAAAATATTTCTATATCGGACGTTGTCAGAATAAAAAAAAATGTTAAATATTCTTTTGTTTTAAACTGGAAAGTAGCAGCCCTTAGTATTCCCGATGATAAAGTGATACGGGAGTCATTAAGTGTTGTGGGCCATTAACAGGAGTGGTTTCGTACCTAGGCACGCGACACCCGCATGATCACGTCACGTGTCCCGTCGCCTGCCGCATTCTCTCGATGTACACTTGCCTAAATTGAACTTGAAATAGTGATTGATGCTTGTTAAAGCGTTCCGCCTGTAGACAGGTTAATAGTTTGATGTTGAGAAATGTGCGAAATTTGTCGAAAAGGTTATTGCATAATAAATGTTAGGTAGGTGAGAGAGGAGAAAACATAACTAAATATAATAAATATAACATAACTAAATATAATAAGTATACTTGTAAGTGTTTCCATATAATATTAAAGCGCTCCGCATCATAACTTTTTAAGTTTTGATACTTTTAATATTGTTTTCCATTTTGGCATCAGCATCGTCATCATTACAGCCCTTCACAAGTCTACTGCTGAACATAGGTCTTTCCGAAAGAATGCCACAAAACAAGGTACTGAGTCACCTGCCTCGTTCTGTCATAATATCTTATGTCGCTCAATCTTGGGGGGAGGGTGCAACTTACCGGTACCCTGAATTTTAACTTAAGAAAAAGGTATAAATACTTTTTATTATTGAGTATTTTAGGAAAAAATCATAAAAATGGTGTAGTTTTTAAGCTACAAAAATACTTAAGTACATGAGGTCAGAACAATGGCTCAGTCAGAAACATTGTCTTTCTATAACGGAACCCTATATTAAGCGTATTCTAACACACACTTTGCCAATTATTAACAAAATAGATATTATCGTATGTATAAGAATGTGTGCATTGATTGGTCACACAAATATTTATACTTAAATAAGGTCAAGTACATATTGTTACAAAATTTTACCACTCAAATCAAAACTGTTACTATTGTACCTACTATCACAGAATAAATAATAGTACTACGTACTACTATGTGGTGAGCGTGTGCTACACGTTGTTCCGCGCATTCTAGCCTTGCATGTAAAGCAAACTATTTGAAAAGTTAATAAAAAACAAAAGAATATTTCTTTCCCAATTTTATACAATTTCCAATCACCCTTGCAAGTGGAATCTTATCGCTTATGTGAACAATGCTATCGGAGAAAAGATCGGATACAATGTTAACAGCTTGAAGGTTATGCTCATTAAATTAGCTAAGACTCCAAAATCTGTTAAGTACAAAAAAAAATTGAAAAATCTGTTTATATTAAGTGGGTATATAACAAGTTTCAGTTCCCTCTTATGCTAATAGTGACAAATACTCGTGTGAAAACGTTACGTACACTGCGGGTATGCGGGCGGCACGCGACGGGCATTGCGAATCTAGCGCTTAAAATTGCTTTTATAATAGTTCGCCGAAAGCTTAACTAAATGTTTATTTTGATAAACTCAGTATTTTGTACACATCCTGCTGTTCTCGATAGCAAAGTTCTTTGAATATGGCGATCATGCGCTTTTTATGTGCAGGGTAGGTACCCGTAGGTATGCGAAAATTTTGCAAATGTTGGCATCCCAGGCGTATTTACAAATGCGTAATGAATATTATATGAAACATAAACAGAAACTTTTTATTCAATATAGATTATAAATAATACTCACTGAAAGTCACTGTTATGTTTAATTTACCACGGGTTTGGAAAATACGTCTGTCGTAAGAAGAACCAGGCAGATACCCAGCGAGACTTTATTTTGAAAAAAAAAACAGTTTACAGTCTCATACATTACACAAAAAATATGATTTCTTATATTTACGCGAACACGCGAGTTATATACGCGATAAAATCCGTAAAAACTAGTTTTATTTAAACACAAAACAAATTAGAATAGCTTGGTAGCGATCACCTCATTTCCAAGGGTTATTACCACCCCATATCATAATATAAAAGTATAGTCACTTGGCAATCTAAACTTAATTGTCCATATATAATTTCTGTCATTTGGCATTCGTTAGCAGGTTGAGAACTACGAAAATCCACAACTAACTTTATTTCTTCCCTTAAATTTCGTATCAATTACGTTACGCTATCAAAAAAATAAAAACATTTTAGACTACAAAAGATGGCGTTGGCCTCCGAAAGATAAAGGTATGCCATCTCGTATGTCGATGTTTAAAAATATGGCATGATATAAATGACAAATGAGCACACAGTTTACCGGATGGTAAATGGACGCTGTAGTCTATAGACGCCTACATTATCCTTGATTAAGAATTAAAATATATAGATACGTTATCACCCCTGAGGATTGAGAAAGATTGCGTCGTTACCAGTAAAAAGAATTTCCGGTTCTCTACACTCACTCACTCACTATTGTGGAAGGAACGATAATGGTTTTAGACAATTGGTTAAAGAAATGAGGTCGTTGCGCTGGTTTTCGGCCTTTTAGTGGAGTTGTCAACTTTAAGGTACTATAAAAAATAATAGCGATTATGTTGACTTAGTGTTGTTAATGTTAATTTATAGCTTATAAAATAGGTAGATAGATAGATAGATAATTCTTTATTGTACACCAAATCAATACATAAACGAAAGAAGAAGAAAAAAAAATAGTGTCACAATGGGCGGTCTTATCGCTAAAAGCGATTTCTTCCAGACAACCTTTGGATGGACAGGATCGCAAAAAATAGTAAATTGTGTGGTTTGGTGATGCAGAAACAATATTTATAAAAATATCCTTATTTTATATAATATAATTAGAAATAAACAACAAATAAATAAAAAAAAATACGAATGTATACTACATATATAAATGGCACGAACTCAAAGATTAAGATAGTGACTGTGTACAAGTTTCTGAAAAACAGGTAAAGACTGGGCGCGTCTCACTGACAGAGGTAGGGCATTCCATAGACGGACTGCTTGGATACTAAACGACTTGTCCATAAATTTGCTATTATGAGCAGGCATTTTTAATGTAAAATTCTCTGATGATCTCAAAACTTTCGAATGGGAATAGTGAAGAAATTCAAAACGATCCTTAAGATAAGAAGGATAGGAAGGATTAAAGAGAACATTGTATAGAAGTGACAGAATATGAGCATTCCGGCGAAGACGGATAGGAAGCCACCTGAGCTTATTACGAAAACAAGATACGTGATCATATTTGCGCAAACCAAATATGAATCTTATACAAAAGTTTTGAAGACGCTCAAGTTTATCAAGTTGCTTCTCATTGAGATCAAGATAGCTGACATCTGCATAGTCCACAATTGGGAGAAGAAGAGATTGAGCAAGCGCAATTTTAGTGGCAGTAGGTAGAAAATTTCTTAATCTGTTCAACGATCGGGCAGCTGCAAAGAGTTTACGACTAACCTCCTGTATTTGAGGACCCCATGATAGGTTACTGTCAATATAAATTCCCAAGTCCTTGACTTTTTCACTCACAGGAATAAAATTTCCATTAAAAACAACTTGAGGTGCTTGAGATATGTTAGATTTTCCAATCATATACGAACTTCCGATGATAATTACCTGAGTCTTTAGAGGGTTAATCTTCAAGCCATATGCTTTTGCCCAATCTGATATTTGCTCAAGATCACGGTTTATGTTGCTAATAGCTACATCTACTTCACTAGGAGAAACATGAGTATATATTTGAAGATCATCTGCGTAAAGGTGGTAGGACGAAGTAATCTTAGTGGCTATAGAATTAATAAAAATTGAGAAAAGTAAGGGAGATAATACGCCACCCTGCGGGACGCCAGCAATGGTATCACACCAAGAAGAAAATGTGTCATCAATGCGAATACGTTGCCGGTTATAATGTAGTTTTCATTTTGATAACTCATTAATGCTACAAAAGAAATCTATTTTTTATAATAAATTTTGATGTGAAAAATATGCAAAACGCTAGTTTTCGGCCCCAAATTTTAGATTTCGGCCTACAAGAATTTTAGTTTTCGGCCACTGTATTAGAAGAGGTACTATAAACTTAAAAGTGTTTTTGTAAAATCAGAAAATGGCAAAACGGTTTGGGAAATCGGTGTATTTAGTTTTCTCAATCGGTGATTGCGATTTTTTAACCGTGACGTTATTTTTTTTCTTTTTGGGTGTGTTTTTGATATAAAATAATAACCATGATTAATTATTTCTCTTTGAATCATAATCTAATAATAAAATCTTTTAAATATAGCAATCAAATATTCTCATTTACGAGTATTTTGTACTTCCTCATAAGTATTTTAGTTTAACAAAATCTGTTACCATATCTAAACATTCTCATCTCTTACCAAGAGGAGCCATCTGAAGAAAAAAAATTTCTTTTTGAATCTTCTTCCTAAAACGCAATGTGAATAAAATATTTGATATGATAAGACGAAATGGCGGTAAACGTAAACTAAGACAGCATTCCATTTTCCGCCGCCGTATTCTTTCATACAATTTTAAGTTGGCCGAAAACTAAATTGTGTATATTTTAGAGTCAATCCAGTTTTCGGCCACGACTGAAATGGGTATTTTGTTTCATCACTAACTGTTCAAATTGCAGTACTTGGTGGCCGAAAACTGAAAGTTAGTGTCTACGCACGCTACGATTCAATATAAGTAAGAAAGATGAGTTATAGTACGTAACCAAATAA